TTGCTCTTCAAAAAAAAAAAAAAAAGAGGAGCTAACATGAGTAAGAAAGTAGTTATCACATTCATCGGATTCTACTTTCCCATCATCTGCCTACTGTTTTCTCCATATCGGTCATGAATAATTAACGATTACACGCCGCTTCAGGGTTACCATGCATGACGGATTCGCGATTTTAAAACGTCATTTTATCAAACACTCGCGAATTTTCTCCTCCATCAATCACAAGTGTCAACGATCGCACATTTTTACGAGTTCGCAGGTGAATCGCGTTGTATAATCGAGCGTCAAAACACCTAATTCAAGTACCGAAACAAAAATTTGACAGAAATAAGAAGCTCGAAAAAATTCCTATACATTCTTCACGTATCCCTCTATCATTAAGAAAAAAAATTGTTCGAAAAAGTGTCTTCGTTACTTCGAAATAAATTCTCAAAGGAGAGCTACTTTTCAGACAGGCCACGATAACCCCTTCTTTAATTTACGACCTCGCTATATCGCTTCCACCAAGTATACAGGCTTGTTCAACAATGGAGCTAGGCTTGTGATAACCCCGTTTCACGGCGACCTTTCAGAACAGTAGGTTATTCATACGAGACAAATTCCAACACTTCTGGGAGCAGTGACGGAACGATCGTTCTACAGCGAGCACGATCCGCGAACGATTTATGCCTTGGAATGGCAGAAATTACAGTAATCAATGAATTGGCATTTCCCACATCCAGAGTGCCAGTATCCGCCGCCGTAAAGATATCTCGATGGCTGCATAATGCCGCGGTGTTAGAATGATGGATAGACGTGCCGGTCCCCGTTTCCTACGACCATGTGCTGCACACTCGTTGAAACAATTATTATAGCGGGCGCCGCCGTACGACACACTGTACAGCCAGGCTCTGGCCTTTTGTATCGACTGATCATGCTACCAGGATTTCGTAAACGCGTCCACCATAATGGTACCCTAATACGTGAAACGTGTTTTCGATCTTCGTGGATCCTCCTACTTCTCTTCGAGCAAGCTTTTCGTGAAATCATCGAGTACGTACACGGTGTGAATGAAATTCTACGACGAAATATGAAGAAAGTCCCGTATAAGGATGTTTCGTCGAGAACGCGTTAATGGATTCCACCTTCGATCGAGATGTTACGGAAACACATTTGTCTGAGTTAAAAAATCTTTCGTAAGGTTATTCAAGTATATTTATAGGTCACTTCCAGGAAATGTGTTGTAATATGTGCGTAGCAGCGAGATTTTACAGGGAAAAAATATATGTAAATTCGACGGTAGATATGTAGTAAGGGCCACGATATAGCAAGATCGTGTAATCGATCAAAAGTTGGAGTAAACATGTGTCAGAGACAATCGAATTGATAGAAATATAAGTAGTTAAGGACCTGCGTATCTTAGTTAGGAGTGTGCGAAAAAATGTTTAAAATCCGCTCGTAAATTTAGCTCCGATGTTAAAGTGCGTTTCGCAAAATATTAATGGCTGTTCAGACACAGGAAACAAGTTCAAATATTCCAAAGTAGTAATTAACATTTCGTGGATTTTCCGCTTGTAAATGGCGTACCGTTAGTCGTAAGACGTCATTCTTTGTAGAATCCCGAAATGGAATAAGTAAGTACAGTGTACGGCCCTAAAGTGTGACGACATCAGTAGGTCCCCTAGTTCGATGGTTTAATTTACGACCTCACGATACCTTGGCTCGTGCTATATCAGGGGGTCGACGAAAAAGAAAACGTCTTAAAAATGTGTATATATAATCAGCCGAGTGGGTCGACTGGTCAGTCGAAAGAAGGTAGTGTCACGCTATAAACATGTCCTCGAAACTGTTCGCTCTTTTAACGCTGCTGCTCGTCGTCGGTTCGTTGGCTATGGAAAACACCGGTAAGTTTTCTGTGAGAAACTTTAAACGTTAGAGTTGGCTATTTTATGGAAAGTGTGTATTTCAATTCAGACGAAATTATAGAGAAGAAATGCGTGCACGGTAAATCATATTTCGACGGATGCAACACTTGTGTGTGTCACTCAGGATATGTAGGCTGTACATTGATATATTGTTACACACAATTTAAAGCGTTGGAAGCCCCGGATGATTTTTGGGAGAAATAATGGCGTTAATTGAGGCATTACCGATTGCACAACTCGACCTGACTTGCAAATCAAACTGGACAAAAATTGCCATCATTTGTACTGGATAACAATGATGCTGCATTACGTGTTACAACTTTAAGCTCTCTATTACTAACCAACTCTACTGTATCTAATCAATTATTTCTAAATAATGTAATCTATTATTGTAAGTTCTATCATATCTTGTAAAAAAGGACAAAAAAATAAAACTTAATTTTTTAAAATTCTGCGTTACTGTCTTCACACCACTGATAGGGTAATATTCACTCGTCGAAGTTTCTTTGCTTAGGTAGGCGTTGCCTAATTGTATAATGGAGCAGGAGGCGCATTGTTCCCGAGTGAAACGCAAACAGAAGTAGGAAGCGAGATCCCACGTTCGTTGATGTCCCTAAAACCAGCTATCAAACGCTGAGTAACGCGTCGGGATTATGATTTTTCGCAACGGAATCCCACGGCTGGTCGGGCCAGGTTGAGCACCGCGGTTACACCTTCTTGGTTCAACCATGGACCAGACAAAAGATCCTGGTTCTCACGACCACGCCCTCTCCCCGCCGCCTCTGCACTCTCTAGACGGCGGCAATGCCTTCACGAAGGTACCTATCCACCGGAAATTCTTCAAGCCGCGGCTCCTTCGACGCTCTGTGTACACACATGTGTGGCCGGACCGCGGCGTGTATAGAAACGAAGGAACGAACGAGCGGTGTGACCTCTTCTTCCAGGTTCTCGCGGGCCGATAATAAATGACCGGCTACACGAGTGTGCCAACGAAAGAGACGCGGGGGCCGCGTCTAAAAAAATGCATACTCGATGGATAGTATTCACCGGTATAGTCACTTTGGACGTACTATCGAATTTCTAAGCGGCCTCCAGGCCATACGGTTCGCCGTGCGAATGTCGAAGACCCCTGACCCTCCTCCACCTCGATGCCGTTCCAATCGGTCGTTTGAAAAAGCTACTCTATGGGACGAATATGCCTGGCATCCGGTGAACGTCGCACATTCGCGAGAACACCGAATCCTCCTCGGATACGACGGAGTAGTATCGTTGAAAAAAGAACTCGTGAAATCACGCGTTCCACCAGCTTGACCATTGGCGACTTCTGTTCAATCCTTGCTGCTTTTCCATTTCGACTTGGGAGAATGAAAAGGCGACCAAATGAGTAATGGACTCGCGGTCGCGGTTACTTGACCTAACCACGGCGACAGGACGTTTAAAGCTACCTGGCTATATTTTAAAGGTGAGCATTATCCGGCTATCGGGACGAATCTAGCCGCTTTATTTGTTAATAACGCTGTCCCCGTCGAGGTTAACGTGGGAAGATCGGCTAACGACTAGAGGAGGCACGTTTGTAAAGTGCAAAAAGGAGAATTTCCTTTTACCATTTGCGTTGGGTCGCCGGGGTATATCAACCGGAGGTTCCGTGTAACGTAACTAAAGCGCAGAAGAAACGTGGAATCACAACGAGCCATTCACGGGTATATTGTCCCGGCAATTAGCCTCGGTTCCTTCTTCAAAGTGTTACGCGCCGCTCGCTCTCGAGGCCTCTTCTCGTTATTGTGAGAGTACCTTGTACCGTCACCTTGGAACGGTAACGTCACCTATGAACTGGCCTGATCCCTCGAAGGGAACCGGAGAGAAAAAAAAAAAAGACACGAGCTCGCACTCACGATGATGAAATCCCCGCGTTCTACGACGGTGATCACAGCGAGCATGAATCAACGATAAAACGTTTAGGAGTCGATAAAAATATTGAAGGATGAAAAGTGGAGAATTTATGGACGTGCATTGAGTTAGATTTGTATTTGTCGCGTTCTAAAATTCGCAGGATATTCAATTCTAAACAGATGGAATATAGTGACGGCGTGACACAGCTGTTTAACCCTTTCGCGACGAATGACCATTGTTATGGCGTCCTGCGAGGCTGATCCTGCGTATGAATGGCCATTACAGTGGCCGTTTGTGAAACTGTTATTAAGTGTATATGTAAGTGAAATTTAATATAAATATTTAATATAGAAACGTTTTGTTCTTTACTAAATAATATTTGAAATTGTTTGTGCGATCTACTTAATTCAGCAAAAGTGAACAATTTTTACGTTTAGCAAGATATGAATCTATGAAATAATTTTCGAGAAGACCTTATGGTTTCAGTATAGACGATATGATGAAAACAATAGTATCGACAGTTTTGAGTTTTCAATCTCATCACTGTTTTAAATAAATTTTACTAAACAATGTATATGCATTGGTTTCTTTTCCGTTGCGAACGGGGTTAATATACTCGACATCAAATAAACGCTGAAGTACGATCAGATACTTTGCCCTCTGCGATCTCGAGGATTTAAAATTTTCAATTTCAATAAACTTACCGGTGTGAGTTCTCTTGTGAGCTTTCAGATGGGAGCTCTTCGTGTACACCTTGTCGCAGCCCGCCACGTCGCATCTGTGAACCTTGCGTCTCTTGAGCGCGTCTCCGCATTCGTTGTCCACCGCTAAACTAGCGCCATTCCCTCCGACACCAGCGTTTCCTCTTCCACCGATCCCGATGCCGCTCGCCAACGCGGGACGCTTGTGGAACACCCTGAAATTCCAACGAAACATCTTCTTGAAACTCTTAAGTACCTTCAGAGCCAAATATCCTTGCCTTAATTCGCCGCGTACAAAACACACTCGATTCGAAGTACCAACATAAATCATCGAAAAACGAACCAAGTAAACAATTCCCCAAATAAGAACGGACCCAGCCAATTATATCAACGATCCACGAAAACAATCGAACTGAAGTTTGACAGCTAGTGGTCACCTTTTTGCAACGTGTATCGTACCGCTGCTAACTATACCCGATCCCTGCAGCGACGATGATTACAACGAGGAGGCGAAAAGGCGGCAAGAAATTCGAGGAACGATCGCCCGCGGTGATTTCAATTCAGATATGGATAAGACGTCTTCATCGTTATTTTATCTTTCGTACGCGCGACTACAGCTCCCGCGGACATCTTTTATTTCCTCCTTCCCCGGCTACATTCGGCATGGATTTATACAGAAAGTTTTTGGCATGCATTATTCAACGGAGATCGATGTGTCCCGATGCGTTATGACCGGTTTGACGAAGAACGGGTGAAATTGCTTGCGAAACGATCAATTGAACAAATACATTTTCTGCGGGAAGAATTCAACTTGCAAATAATACGACGGACTAACAGAAACGGAAGGGAAGGAATAAAGAATTTAAAAAAAGTGGCAGTTATTACGTTAATCTACGCGGTTACATGGAAGCGCGCGCGCGTACACGAGGCACAGCAACGGAACGGGTCGGTCGCGGATCTTTTAACGGGATGCACGATTTGCACGGTCGTATTAACAGAGCTGTCAATCAGCCGCATATGTTCCGGTGAGCTCGTGGAACGGCCTGTGATTTTCCATAACGGGTTCATAGATTTCGAAGCGCCTAATAATCGGTTATCGCCGACAGATGAGCGGCTTTCAGCTTTCGAGAGCCTTTCAGGAAAGCGGAGACAGAAACGTTTAAACCTTTGCCCCTGGTTTTAGAGGGAAACCATTTGGGAATTTTAGGAACGACTTCACGGGGATAATTGATATTCTTCATCGAGTAATTAATTTTTTCATTCATAATTCATTTTTCTTACAGAATTTGAACCCTTTATAATGTTATGTGACTTTAATGCGACTTTAATTTTATTTAATTTATTCATGATAATTATTAATTCTTGCTCCTCTCATTATAATGTAACATTTAAATCAACCATAATTTTTCTTCTGATGAATGAAAGGAATCAGATTATAGAGGGTGAACGAAGTTCGATTTTAAGTAGAATTTCAAAGAAAAAATTAATCGATTAAGCGTAATTAATTGCATAATTGTGTTCAGCTGTTTGTGTAGCATTAGTACCTATTGTAGGTAAGACTATAACCGCACGTATGTGCTTTAAATGCGTTCATTAATCACAGACTGCTTCGTCTAAACGTGCTCCATTTTGCACTCCATTCCCATGAATATTCATGAATTATTTGTCCATTATACCGTGGCCAACGGGGTAAACGTTGATACCCCATTATCGTTTACAATCGGCTCGCGATTTACACGCTCGTTCATTATAATTTTAAAACGTTCAGAGTGCAGAGTAACTGACCAGAAAAATATCGAAACCACTGTTCATTATTCTGAAGAACAGGAAAATGATACACGTAGCACGTTCGTGTACATACCACATTTACACTCGTAACCATTTTACCCCGGAACTTTTACTAAAATTCAACGTCTTTGTCAATTAACGTATTCAGGCTAATTGCTTTAAAATTCTAGAGGAGACCGATTTTTATAAACTCGAAGGCCATCGGCGAAAACGTCAATTATTGAAGACAACGATTTAAATAGTTTCTCCAATTATATGCACCGGTTGTTCAACTTTGCCACCGATTGGTAGAAAGTAGCGAAACGTACAATTTCACACCCAGTAGACCTCGTTTCTCAGAAAAACGAAAATAACAATGCTCCGACTATGTGTCATTCTCTCAAAAAGTACTCGGACTGTACGTGAAACTTAACCCTTTGACAGTCTAATACAATTACGAATTAAACTGAATAAAATTCATATTTCACACGTTCTTTTTAATAATTACGTCGTGTGTGATTATTTTTAAAGCACAGTTCTGATAATAATATCTCGTCCCTTTCTAACCTTCATCCTAAAAGTCTCTCAGGAGTTTTTTAATGCCCGAGTCTCACTCGGGATAAATTGTCAAAGGGTTAATATCTCGTAAGTGAAAAGAAAATCTGATAACACAACATGACGTGATGGTTACTACTGGCTATTTAACTGGCACTGAGTTTACATCGAAACTATGCAAGCCAAGTAAAAATGATAAGTTAAGGGGTTACCATTACCATTAGCAATGCATTAAACAGCGAAGGACACTAAGCTTCCTAATCTAACGCAACAGATCGTCCCACCGTTATCGCTCGTGGTAACCACGTCGTAACTCGCATAGTGGTTGGTTCCCCGCGACAATTAATATTCCCACAGTCTAGCGACGACAATGCAGAATCCACGGGGCAATTTATTTCGCGATAATTCCATCAGCCTGCCTCCGCGTCGAAATCTCCGTCGCGGCTTGGCGTGTACTGTGTAGGGGATTACCAAATGGATCATTGTTTCGAAGACCCGAGCGCGGCGCACTGGAAAGGCGAAGGAGGAACTGGAAAGTACATTTGTCGTGAAGTATTGCCCCAAGCTTGCGGCAGTTTCTCTGCAGGGGGGCCCTGACATGCGGGTACCGATGTACAACGGTGCGTGTACACGTGCGTACCCGGTATTCGCGTGTGGAAGTCGCGAGTTGCGCACACGTATAGATCGAGACGGAAACAGACAACGGGGCTGGCGGAGATTTATGAGAAACGTGAAGTATAACTATCGGTTAACGGCATTGGGACACGAGAGGACAGGCCTCGTGATCCTGTGGCACCGCTGTGACGATTTCACGGTACGCGTGATCTACGGACACGATCCACCACGAGACCCCACCATTATTGGCATCGATCTACGCCAAAACGGGCGAAAGAATGCCGGCTGCACAGTTACATCGATGTCGGAACTTATGACGCTCCGGGGAAATTGGATAAACTACGATTTAACCGTAGGCCCTACATTTCAACGACGCGGAGCCGCGAAAGATGTTTCTTTCTCGTATATTATAACGAAAGGCGGACACAGGGAAATGGCGGTAACGTCGATTCGAACAGTACATGCTGCTACGTCAAGGGCCGTTCAGAGAGTGGCTCTAATAAAGTCATTGACACCGAAGCAACGATCAAGAGGGGAATTCCAAGATAGAAGGATAGACCGTTATGTCATCGTCTGTCATCGTGGCACAGAAAAGACGGGGCAGAAATTATTCAGCGTGATCTCTAAGCTTCGCATCGAGGCAATGTCCATGGGTGTTACATAGGCTCGAGCGAAAGAAATCGTGACGAACAGTACGAAATGAGGTTTGTTAGCGTGCAACCGGGTGTCACGAGATTACTATGTTTTCTAACGTCGAGGCCTAACCGTAGAGATCGGCGGAGCCTCGACGGCTCTGCTCGACAATGGAAAAGACACACTTGGGAGAGCACGAGAGCAAATTAAACGAGATTTACAGCGAGAGCATGATCCCGTCCTATTAACCCTGGACGTGCTTATGCATTCGATGAATTATGACGGCACGTAACCATCGCCGCGGTGACGGACCAACCGCGACGTCCTGCTGTTTTCGACCGATTGTAAACTGATAATAAAGTCAGCCCTTATGCGCTCCAGTTGGGTGGCGATGCATTGTTGACTTTATTGAGTGGTGTAATCATTGTGGTATGCGATAAATATTTGTTTGACTGCATTCTGGACAGGATTGTATGATATTTTATGGGTAACTACTAAATGTCCTATTTGTAGACCTAATCCTTGCATTTCACGAAAATGTCAACAATCCTTTAAATTAACTCAGAGAAAATATTTATTTTAGTGTAAATAGCTGAAAGTAAGCAAATTGTAATTTTTGGACGACAAACAGAAATTGAAAATTTTAATTATGGAAATAAGAAATATGTATCAAGGCATATTAAAAATTATATATCAACATTAAAGATTCTAATGGGTGATCTACAAAGTCTGCACAATACCTTCATTGTTAACAGAGGAATAGTCCTTTATCTCCTTACAGTTAATACATAGAAATTGAACGAACCCTACTTTCTCCATCGGCAATAGAGCACACACTCAGTTGCCCCCTTTAAGAGACGCGAAAGACCTAGTTGTACGAAGGTGTGGGAGACGGTGGGTGCATTATCTATCAGGAGCGTGGAAAAAATGGTTCGGTTCGCCGTTGGTGCGGCGATATGATCGGTAAAAGTACTTACAGGGACGTTTCCTTTATCCTCTGCAACGCTAGGAGGGCCGCCGAGGAGGAAACGAAGACAGGGTCGAGAGGTTCCATCATGCGGACAGACACGTCCCTCTCTCTGTCCCTTTCCCTATCCCTCTGCCTATCACGATCTCGTTCCTTTTCTCGATCTCGCGGCTCCCTCTCCCTGATCCCAGATTCTCTCTCCTGCTGCCGTTCCCTGTGCTCGTTCTCCGTGCTCCTCTCTCGAACCCTTTCCCGTTCCCGTTCCCGGTTTCTCTCCCACGCTGTTTCTCCCAGCGGTGGCAAAGACGGCGACACTGCAACAAAAATTCGCGGAATATTAATTAGCCGACCGATACTAACCCCGGTTCAAGCATCGTTTATTCAAACGGTTTACGCCTGGATTAGACTATTTGACGTTAGGTACACCGAACGACTAGTAATTCATCGGTTGACGCGTGTGGAAAACGTGGAAAAGAGCTCGTTAGCGTTTACCGCTAATTACTAGAATTTTGTGGAATCGTAGATTATCCGGAGAGTGACATATATGGTTTCTAGAAAGGGGGAAGGGAAATGAGCTACCATTTTCACAGGGAAAATAAAAGCACGGTGTACTTTGAAACGGTCAGATTCGTCGAATGATCGAAGGGAATAACGAGGCGGTCGTTATTAAAGTGAGTTTTTCCACTGTATATTATTTAAACGCGCGATTTACGCCGACGTGCCTCGGCACCCGTGCAACATTGTCGTAAATCTTACGTTATAAACTCGGCTAATCTACAAGCCACGGACTCCAGACGATGTTTCTCGGGTTTTAAAGAAAATTGAGCCGCGAAAGTTCAATCGTTTCACAGGCTGTTCGGGGCCATCGCTGTAAAAAGTCTACGCTGGTTATCGTTTCATGCTGTTTCTTTTTTCTTTTTTTTATTATCCACAGTATGTCTGTTTATTTCAATGTGAAATAGATTTATGGAATTATTAAATTGAAAGTGTAAATGCTATGTTATCACGTAAAGCAATGGGGAAAGGAAGATGTTAAAAAATGAACGAAAAATTTTTTTACAGCATGATTCCACGCATCCTAAGGAACAAAAAATGTAATTGTCATACTTATAACTTATATTCCGTCTCGTTTTCTTCGGATGATGGTCTGTTCGTAAATTAATCACTTACAAACTTATATTGAGTATCATTTACAAAGATTGTTGTACATTAGTGTTTAATAAAAACCAAAAATAATGAAAAATAATTAATGACAAATTAATCGAAACAAGGAATTCAGAAACCACTAGTTATTTATTCTCGAAGTGATAAAAGTTATAATAAACTATCGTAAATATAATAAAATAATCGTCATGACAGGGATACAATAAAAAAGTAAGACTCTAACAGAATTTGCATTTCTTAACTGTGTATCCGGTGATTTCATTTCTCCACTAATTTTTTTTCTGTCAAGAATACGAAACTGCTTCGTGTTTGCAAAGCAGCTGTTTATTCGAGTTGTGACTCTTAGAGAGTTGAGCGAGGCTCTCAGACAGTCACTCTCAGACGCAGTGTCCACTCGCGATAGTTTTACTCTGAAAAGGAGTGTAACGATTTGAATTTAAAAGGGGCGCGTCTTTTTACCGTGATCGGCGTGCGTCCGCCGAGCGGCGATTGCGCATGCGTCCAGCGGCTATCGCGCATGCGTCGAGCGAAAAAAAGTATGGCGTATTGTATTGTATTAAGACTACGTGCGTGGCGTTTGTTCTCGGTTTTGCCAATAAAAGTAATATAAAATCAGAAAATTCTTTTCCCGCTAACTCTTTTTTGTGCGCGAACAGGCAGCTAGCTTATGTTTGGCTCGATGTACGTAACGCGACTCGGGTTCGCGTGTCTTATGTTTGGCTCGCAAGAAATATCACGAGTTCTAAGAAGTTAAGGCCTTGAATTTTTCCCAGTACAGCGAGCAGAAATCGGGTAGGACGACTTGTCCTCAGTCGGTGTTTACGAGGCTGTCGAACGAGTGTCTTAGACTGCGCGATTCTAGTCTTGTAGGGAATACATCGTACAACGCGTTTTCGATTATACGCGGATTTCCAATCAATTTGCGTACTTGGCATATTCGTTCGTGTGAATTAAGTGTCCCTGCATACAAGAAGCTAGTGCATCGAATACAAGTACACAGCGAACAGCTCAGCTTGGGAGAAAAATCAAACGAGAGGCGTGTCTCTGCGAGCTACGCAGCTGCTGTTTCACGGTATGCGTATGCGTGAATAATATGTACGTACACAATCGAATGATTGAGTTAATTGAAAATAGAGGAGAGCCTACGTATAGCTAATTAGATTAATTACTGCAACAATTTCGTTTTATCGTATCCTAAGTTTATTTTTCTTGTAATAAGATGTGTTATAGCTATGAAACAACAAAAAATTAGTTTTTTTTACTGCTGTCTCCCCGAGACATGTACATATTCTATCCTTTCCTGGAAAAACACCGTCTCTTAGTAAACAACTAAGTTTTAGTTTTTTTTACTGCTGTCTCCCCGAGATATATACATATTCTATCCTTTCCTGGAAAAACACCGTCTCTTAGTAAACAACTAAGTCTTTACACACGACCTACCTCGTTTGTTATTATTCTGACGACAATGTACGACAATTGACACGCAGTGCAGATGATCAGACTTCAGTTTTCCGTAAAACTACGCGGACAGTCGACGTCTCTAAACCTACGCGTAGTTCGACACAACACTGTATACATATACATATATGTTTAGACTGATATGTAAGATCATGCAAATTCTCTTAGAGTCTTACTTTTTTACTGTATCCCTGTCATGACGATTATTTTATTATATTTAAATTCCTTGAAATTCCCAAAGAATTCCTTGTTTCGATTAATTTGTCATTTTTTGTCAAGTTTCAATGCAAATTTAATTTATCAGATATTTTAATTTTAGTCGTATTAAATTTTTAACGAAGTGTTTGAAAATTCAGGAATGCACCCAGTGCGCAAAATTTTCACAGAAATTTGCATGCATAAAATAGGATGAAAAGGTAATTTTTCTGGCGATTATGAAAATGGCCAAAGTTAAAAGGCCCGAAACATTCAAATCAGAGAAGGTTATCTTCGTTCGAGACGAAGTCCACTGATCGGTGGAAAGTCGTCTGGATACCAAACGAAACGCCGCAATTTACACCGGCTAGTAGATATTTTTCGACCACTCTCGACCCTCGTAACGGCACAACGATTTCAACGCTACACGTCGTTGCCCTCCTCGCGACCTATGGTCGACAAGCATGTTAAATGTCCGTGACATTACTGTTACTAATTAATACGCGTCGGTGGTCAATAGATTTGCTATCGATCGGCTCTGCAGACGTGTTTAGAGGTGGCGGGGAATATCCGCCGGATGGTTTAACTTTTGACCGTGTATCGTCGCGCTATATCTGCGCGTCTTTCATTCGATTATCGAAGTCGCCTCCTCGATCGCCTCGTAATCGATGTAAAATTGTAATTTCCAAGGCTTACCTCGTTACGTGGTAATGGCTCGTTTGCCGGTAAACGCTCGTAATTAGTGCCGCGTAATTTCAAGTACACGAAATCGCCGCGGTATCGTTACTCGCAATTTGTTCCGGCTACGCCAGGGAGAAACAGTTTTCTCCCACGAAATCGTTCGGTCGTCGAACACGAGCCCAATCGGGGTGGCTTAATATGGTTACTGTTACTCGTATATGAGGCATTTTACAAATTAATCAAGCCTCTTCTCCGATTATCTCTACTTGCAATCTTTCCTGTTTAGCAACTGCGCGTGTGTATGTGTTCCCAGTCCACTCTTAATTGTTCTAGTATTTTTTTTTTTTTTTTTTTTTTTTTTTTTTTTTTTTTTTACAACTATTTAACGACGCTTTGCAATATCGCGTGTTTCGTATGTAGTTTATTTTAAAAAGCAATTATTTTTTTAGACGAATTTGGTAATTGCCGTAGAATGAGATGAAATGTGAATTATCATTTTATTTACACTTGATTTTACTTGGAGCTGAAATATACGAAATGCGGCTTAATACCAAAGTTCAGAAAATAACGTTCACCCCCTTGGGCTAAAAGTTGCCAAGACTGATCGTATGCATATATCAACCTTTCACCTCGTACGATGTGCCGTGAACATTTCCTAGGTGCTTCTCGTTATTCGAAAATAATCAACCACGATGACCATACCGAGTGTTGCGTTAGAATTAATGTCTCCGCGAGTAAGTTCGCTTTCTTGCGTTTCGAGTGTACGTACTTGTCGCGAGAACGTCTACATTTAACATGAAACAGAGGCAGCACGACCTATGTTCATCGAAATCCTGTTCTTGGTGCGAAAACTTCTGCACCGGGTATTCGATAAATTCGCGAGACGAGCGTGTGCAATTCGACAGGGCAGGGATGCGTCAGGGAACCGGTTTTACGCTTATCTATTGGATTCGAGAGAGAAAAAACGGAGGACGCGTTAAACGATACCGCTGAATCTTAGGTAAGCTCGAATTCCACGGTTTGCGGATCCTGAAAGCATCGAGCGAGGGAAAAGTAAGAAATGAAATGAAATTTTTCAAAATCACGCCTCCGTTTGTTCGTCTTCCGCTTTTCTCACCTCGAGAAATCGCGAAATCCGCGCAAAGTAACGGGATTAAGAGGTAATCGATTTCGCGGGGGGAGACACGGCGTGTTCGCGGTCGGAACAAGGCGGAATATTGCGTAACGCACGCACGCAGCCACGCACGCGAGTCCCTCGGTTGTTCGTCGTGAATCAACGAGCCGGAGATTTATGCAAACGGCCGTTGTGGTCGGGCGGGCGCACGCCAGCCGGGCAGAAACGCGTTCGACCGAAGATGCATGACTGGAAAACGAACGTGAACCACCGAGCCCGCTCTCTCTCCCTTGTGTTTCGTTGGTTTGATGGATCACGCCGAAGATTGATTTTTAATTGAATCGCAGCCTCGTAATTCAGCTGTGTGGCCCGACCTTTGAATAACAGACGTCGTAAATACACGGATTGACGCGAGGCACGCATGCTGCGGCCGTCCTGCCACACGCCAACGTCAAAGAAAACGTCACTTCGTATTCGGGGGGGTAGAGTCGCGAAGTGTTCCCGTCGAAAACGTACAGGAGGTCTGGTAATAAGCGGCTTAATCACTATAATCGCGGTTATACGCTCCGGGCGGAACTCGCCTTCCCTTCGAAAGTTGCGGTTGCCCGGTTCGATCCCGAGTATAATAACGATGATCATAACGCATCGCAAGTGCGTTGCCAGCCGACGTTTTTCCTCTTTTTATCCGGCCGGCGAAACCGC